CGTGTGTGCATGTGCAGCATGTAACACTCTCTCTCTCTCACACACACACACACACACACGGGATAGAGAGGCGGAGGCGGAGAGGAGTTGGCAGGAGGAGATTGCGGGAGGAGATGGAAGGAAGAGATGGAGGGAGTAGGCAAAGGAAAGAGGATTTGGCGGGTGGAGGCAGAGGGGAGGTGGGCGGAGGCTGAGCAGAGGTGGGCGGAGGCCGAGGCCGCAGGCGGTGGTGCAGGCCACGATCTCTCTCTCTCTCTCTCTCTCACACACACACACACACACACACACACACACGGGGGATAGGGAGGCGGAGGCAGTGGCAGGAGGAGATCGAGGGAGGAGACCGCGGGAGGAGATGGTAGGAGGAGGAGGCAGAGGGGAGGTGGCCGGAGGCCGAGGCTGCAGGCGATGACGCAGGCGGCAATCTCTCTCTCTCTCTCTCTCTCTCTCTCTCTCTCTCACACACACACACACACACAGCGGATAGGGAGGCGGAGGCGGAGAGGGGTTGGCGGGAGGAGATGGAGGGAGGAGGCGGACGGGAGGTGGCGGAGGCGGAGGAGAAGTGGCGGAGACGGGGGAGGAAAGAGAGGAGATGGTGGGGATAGGCAGAGGGGAGGGGGGCAGAGATAGAGGGGAGGTGGGCAGAGACGGAGTCACCTCGGAGTACAGCCTTGCAAGTCACAGGTCGAGGGCGCAACCCGAGCAGGGCCATAGCGCTGTTGGCCCTGCAATGGGCCAATGGCCAGCAGGTGCCAAGGCAGTTATTTTACGACGGACCCTCTTTTCAACGGCCGCGACGATCCAGGCCGCCCGCGGTCCTACTAGCCCAATGGCTCCACTCGTCCTGCGATCTTAAGATGATACGATCGCACGACGATCCAGGCCGTCCGGCGCAGCCTTAAAGTCTTAAGATCGTGCGGAAATCCGGGCCGTCGGCCGCTAGGCCACAGGCGGCCCGGATCGGCCAAATGTTGCGTGCCAAATAGCGGTTTCTGTAAGTTTAGGGATCTTTGCAGTCAAACGTCTCAAGCCATTAATTCCCACCTTTAGTACTTCAAACAGGTGGAACGCAGGTCCTTGACTTACAGAGGTGGTAAACTAACCAGATGGAGCTCAATGAGTAAGGGCCAGAGGAATTGTCGCTTGCATGAGGTGGAGCGGAGCTGAGAGAGGCAGATGCCTCAGATAAGCAAATTTATAATATCCACTGTTCCAGGGAATGTACACGTGGCATATAACAACAGAGCACTTTCTGTCAGTTGAAGACGCTCACCCATCCGAGACAAGCATCAACTGTGGGAACGACTTCGGGACAACAGTAGCACCTAGAAATGCACCAGATTGTCAAGGAGCGGCCTCAACACATCCCCCACCCAACGAGGAAACATAGTGGAAGGGCTCAGATTGCAGGGGACTTGTAATTGATGTAGCTGACACAGAGGAAGTGCACATGCGCCATAGAACTGGATTTAATAAAAAGATATAACACAACTTCACAAAGCGGACAAAGGTGGCAGGGGAGGGTTCAGATTGCAGGGGACTTGTAACTGATGTAGCGGACACAGGAGAAGTGCAGATGAAGAGTAGTAACACAACTTCACATCGTGGACAGACGTGGCAGGGGGAAAATAAAAGGAAGTGGGGACCTCAGATTCGCAAAGGTTTGAAGAAATCAAAATAGGCATGAGAAACTAAAGCTGAAGCAGGAACAAAAGACCAACAGGAGAGAACTGAAGTCCATTCAGGTGATGAAATCAGAGGAACGTGCGCAGGTGAAAAGACCCACATATTCACCTCAGAAAGCGGTAACAAGGCCACGATGAGGGTGCGGCTCAAATTGAATAGCAAGTTGAATGCCTAGGGTATTTGTTTAACCACTGGTGCATGGCCACAACTTTGCAGTCCAAAACTCGTCACCACAAGGAAACGAGGCCGAAATGTCAAACGTTGGGCCTGCCGTTTATAAATTGGATCGGCGGTCACGTTTTCATTGTGACCTTCCAGAATTTGAGGTGTCAGCCCCGCAGCCCAGGTGCCCATGTACTGATGCTTTAAAATGGGCAGACAAGTCGCACAGCTGACTACAGTTGATGGGCAATGTTCATCTGAAGGCGTTCGTACCGTTGACACAGCTGTTACATACGACTTCCAAATGTGGTCCTCTCCCAAGTTGGCAGAGCTGACCTCTAATGAGGGGACTGAAATGTGGCACCGGGGAAACTGAACACACCTCCCAGCTGATGAGAAATGTCGCATGTGGCATTTGGAAATTGTCGCATATGACATTCGGAAAATGTCGCATGTGGCATCAGATAAAGAATAACAGGGCATTCAGATAAAAACTAACAGGGAAATGCAACAGAGCTCCCTAACCGAAGGAGTTGTGAAGCCATCACCACAAGCCTGAAGACATCCACCTCATGAAGTGAAGGAGTTGTCTAGCATTGTTGTTGTTGCCTGGTACCAGACGGGACAGGCACTGGTTTGACTACTGAAACAATCGGAGAAATAGAACCAGCACATGCAGATGGGAATAAAGAGCAGAAACGGGAGGGAAGTCTAGGCACACACACATGCAGACACATACACAGAAAACGGGGGATGAAGGCTGCAGGAAGGGGCGGAAAGTGGAGGTACATGCAGACACATGCATGAAAAATGGATAAGGGGCCAACAAGGCAGAGGTGACCAGATGCCCACAAGGGCAAGGCACACGTGGTTAACCAGGGGTGTTATTTTTGACGAATTTTGCACCGAATTGCACTGAAACTGTCATATTGTGCTGATTTTTTGCTTTTTTTCTTGTTTTTCTTTTTGTGTGATATATATGTGCTTTGGGGTACGTGATGTGTGCAGTTTTGACATGTTTGGATCAATAATGAAAAAGTCGGCATTTTGTTGAATTCGTTGGACGCTTCATTTTGACTCGGACTTTCGGCCTGTTTCCTTTTTTTATGTTTGCACTATGGTCTCGTATCGTTTGTTTTTAAAAATTTTGATGAAATTCGCACCACAATTGTCAACGAAAACGGCGAATATTTGGGCCCCCGATAACCGTCTCTCGGGCAAGGGAAAGGAATGCATAGATGTCGAGAGAGTCAGAGAGACAGAGCGAGGAAAAATATACATAACATTTCGTATACTCAGAAAGAGAGGCAAACAAAGAGAAAACCGTGAAACAGAGAAGTGACCATCTTATGTCATCACCAACAGGTGCATAATGGTAACACAAATCTTCCTGTAGTGGTACATTACTGAACTTCTGTTGCATAAACTGCAAGCTCCTGCAGGAGCTCACAGCTTCTCTTACACTCCTTTCCTTGCCACAAATTAAACATTCTTTGCCAGAGCAAAAGCAGCTCGGGGTAAGCGATATACTACATGCCCAATCACAGCTATAAACACTAATGCAAGGTGAATAACTACGGCCACAGCCTGCCCGAAACCATTTGCATCACACCATCCCAGGCATCAAACCACCCAAAGAAAACAAGGCGGCAATCGTATATTTTGGCCTGCCAGAGGTACTACACTGCAAGCTATCGTGCCAATCACCTTCCAAAATGGTTATGATCACAACTCTAGTTAAGGTCTAAGTTCTGATTTACACAACAGAAACTGCACCAAGCAGGCCCAAATTCTGCTTTCAGAAGGGGAACTCGCAGCATCACACTTATCTTGGCACAAATATTCCCCAGCGTCCACGGTCAAAGGCCTACCTTCAAACTTTAAAGAAACACCCTGCGATAGTAGTACTTACATATGCTAGAAGACCTGTCACTATTTCTCTACTACTGCAATCAATGGGAGACTATCAACCAAATCAAACTTGAAACCAGAAACAGAAGTTAGTGGAACCTAAAAACTGCCCCACCCACCTCTCTCTCTCTCTCTCTCTACCACGGCGCCAGCATCATTCCACAGTGCCCAGACTCTTAGCAAGATTCCATCGGATTTACGCCAGTGCTGTGGGAGGTTTACTACCACTGCGATTTTCTTTTCTGGTTGCCCAGGGTCATCCTTCTGCCAGCACATGACAAGGGCCTATAATTTCTTTTGCTGGCTGGTAGGGAATGGACCACCACCTCATAAGCGATGCAGGCAGGCCTTAGCATTATCTCCCAAACTAGATTGGGTCGGTTAAGCAAAGCACACAGCTGTCAAAATTTTACGTAACCACCCATCATGTCACTGTCCACGTTTCTTGGGCTCTCCTGACCACTGCGATGGCTTGCCCAGTGCTCGACAGAAAATACAAATGTCACTGTCCTTGTTTCTTGGGCTCTCCTGCCCAGTGAGGTGACTTGCCCAATGCCCGACAGAAAATACAAAAATGTGTCATAGAACAATCAGGCATGCGTGTTCAGTCAGAGAGTCAGGGGGAGCCCATCACTGTCCCATCGCGTGAGAACTTCCCAGCGGTTTGCTCTAGTCCACTTCACCACCATCAAGGTTTTCGTGGCAAAATCAGATCCTTGCTACCAGACGGCTTCAGCTTTGGGTTCATGACTAGCCAGATGACATCAACCCCGCAACCGGACCATCCCATGGCAAACAGACTGCTGGTATGCTCATCAATTTCTATACAGTGTATATATCATAAGATGACAGTCCTCTCCTTCAGTCCAATCTTTTATCTGCTCAGAGGCCAAGCTACTAATCAAAATCAATACAAACTTCTAGATAAGAATGGTAATTCTTGTGAACAATCACTTTCAACAACAGCCTTCGAAGCTAGCTTTATGACATACGTAAGACACAAAAGCAAAATTCATTTCCATTTTGGCAGAGAATGACATATCCACAAGGGCAGATCAGAGCGGTGACTTACTCTGTGCAAGTACGTTTCCGAGTTCTTCGGGAAATCAAAATTTATGACGACATTCACCGCCTGGATGTCAATACCCCTGGTGAACAGATCTGGTGGGTACCAGAAAACAATGCATCAACAACACACGATCAGAATTGAAATCTTTCAAAGAAGTACCAGACAAAACAATCCCATGAAAATAATAATCCTCTGAAACAAATGCTTTACCACTGGAACTGAATCATGAAAACACAAACAAGCATACAGCGGCATCCCAAAACAGGTCCACGACCATACTGCACTTACCAATAACCAAGCCCCATGACCAAAGTCAGAATGCTCTCTCAGGGATTCATATTCACAGAATCGAAGCAAACAAACCTTCAGGAGAGGTGGTCACTCGTATGCCATCAGACTAACCTGTAAAGCGGAGAAAAAAAACAGAACCCCCCCCCCCCCCCCTCCCTCCCCCTCTCATTTCATGGATCATAAAAAACGCATTGTTCATGTGTTATAGCAAGCCCCAACCACGACCACTAGAATCCCCCTCCCAGCCTTCCCGTTTGCCTCACGAGGGGGCCAGATATGGGAGAAAATGATACCACACATATCAGCCACCGACAGACGCTCAGGCATACCATTGAGCTAGAGACTCACCTGACGAGACCAGGTTCCTGCATGCACCATTTCTGAAGTCATGGAAGACCCGATTGCGGTGGGTCTGAAGCATCTTCGCATGAATATAAAAACAAGAGTACCCAAGCTCGGTGATCTTCTTCGCTAACAGCTCAACCCGATTCACTGAGTTACAGAAAATAATGGACTGACATATTTGCAGCTGGGAAATCCACAACAAGACAACCACAACACGATTCTTCAGTGTTAGAATAGTGCAAGCACTTCTACACACCAAGCACGCAAAACACAAAGTGCCCACTGTTTACACTTGCTTTCAACAACAAACACCAGCCAAAAAACTACACAGCTAACGATCTTCGCTACAAGACACCAAATACTGTCACTAGATGATCTAACAACGTGTGCTGCCCTGAATCATCCAAAAATTGCTACACAAACGAGACTGCTCCCTTGATCGCGTTTATCCACAAACCAAATTTCCTCATTCCCATCCATATATCATTACGATCACTCACTACCCTGTGCCACGGCCCATAAATTACAGTAGGAACGAAATCTTAGGCTATCTCCATTCGACCACCAAAAGCCATGTGCAGAATCTTATTTTTACCACCCTAAACCACCAGTCCCTACCATCCTCAATTCCAGACATGTCTTGATATTGCCCGCCAAGGAAAAACGAACCAACACATGCACAAAATCTTATATTGCTGTCTTGTGCCATCAGCCATTTTGGTCAGTAACTCGGACCTCTTTTAGCAATATAGGCTAACCACCGCAATACAAGGAAATAGCTGAGAAGGAACAGATTATTTATAAGCATATGCTATCATACTGCATTCCATTTGACACCAACACCTTTAAAGCCTGAAGTTCTTGAACACACACCCCATGTTTTCATTGGAACTCTTACACAAGCGAAGCCAGACAAAATCAAGGCTGCTTACTGGAGTTCATGCAAAATTCCTCCATTAGTCCCACACCTCCCTTCACTTTTTTGAGCTAGTGCTCTTCTTTCCTTCCACAGTGCCAACAATTCCAGGGAGCGCTTCCATGTCCAAATCCGTTCACCTTTTCTTTTTAACCACTAGTACCTTCGCCGCGTGGGAAAATAGCGGGCCTCCGTCCTTTTCAGAGACCGAAACGAAATGACGGCCACCGATCATAGCAGCCATCATCCGGCCCGGCCTCTGAAAACTTAGGAGCTTGGAAAAACTGCCACCTTTCCCTATTTTCCCAACGGTGGCAGAGGTACTAGTTGTTTAAACCATCAGTACAAGCCATAAATTGGTTGTGGGCTGCTTTCAGAGGCCTTATCAACGGCGACCCCGCCTTGACAGTTCCTTTCAGCAGGGCTGGGGGCAAAGAGTTTCCTTTCAGCAGGGCTGGGGGCGTGTACTGGTGGTTAATAAAACAGATCCTAAAATCTCCAGAAGTCCGAGTACAGGTTTCATGCTACATGTCCCGAGTCTTCCACACCCTTGACAGTTCCTTTTCACCGCATATGTATATCAGCAGCCATTCTAGTAATAGAGCCTACCAGCCACCCGTTTACTACCATCCTCAGATAGGCACCAGGTGATCTCACTCTTTTAACCACTCATTAGCAAGCTCAACCTCTTCTCCTTGAACTCTGCCCATGTACTTCTCCCTCACATGCACGACCACACACACAGACTCGGATATAACGCACAAGTGCACACGCACACACACAATCACAGAACGGCTTTGTTCCTGGCAAATGTGACACCGAAAGAGAGGGAGAGCTTGAATTGAAAAAGGCATTCGATGCTACTGACCTTTGAAAATAATGTATTCAAGCAATGCACCTTTTGCCTCTCCTCCACAAAGGCGTAGTACTGAGTGATACCCTTCAGAGTGAGCTCATCCATGAGATTAATTACATAAGGCTTCCGAAGGAACCTGTCCTTGAAAGACTTGACAGTAACCGGGAAAGTTGCAGAGTACAATAGGATCTGGCGATTCTCTGGTAAGTAACTAATGAGCTGTTCCACCAGTGGCTGAAACTCCGGTGACAACAATTTGTCCGCCTGCATTTGCAATCACCAAGGCATACCGTCCCCCACGACAAGACCACCCAGGTCAGTTATCACTCCGATAACGGCAGCCGCCATCCGATAACGGCAGCCGCCACCAAACAACGACACTCAGATGCTACAGTCTTCACTGAATACAACGCCCGGTCAATATAGCTGTATCTGGAGTGAAGATTGCCCCAAATACAGCTATAATGACAGGGCGTTGTCTTCGGGTGAAGATGATACGCAGGACACATGCCTCGCCAACGAAGATAAAAGGCCCATCATCCAGTGGCAGCTTCCACGAAATGTGAATGACCAACCTGGCTGACCATGACAATCCTGCAAGAGTAAGCAGCCAAAGGTGCAGGAGTCTACCGCGCATCGCAGCATAGGCAGGCACGCCTGCCATGCATCCGTTTTCTTCAATAGTTCCACACAAAAATCAATGAAAAGGCAACCTCCATGGCCAACAGAACTATTCCCTGAATTTTTCGAATTGTTTTGAGCCATGGCAACAAATGCTCCTAATATCATGGAAGCAATATTGCAAAAGAAGAAGATTGTTTGCCATGTTGAATCATAAAAACTATTCAACCTCGAAGTCTGCTCCATGCACGAAACCAGCGCGCAGAAGAGGAAAAATCGCATGCCTGTCACTTGGAAGTCTGCTGAATTTTCACTCAGGGACCCGACTACAGCGTTCACACTGCCAGAATACACTTTTGACACCTGCACATCCCCGGGCAGATCATGCACCTGGTCATCCAAACATCCAGACGCAATCTAAAATAGGCAGTTATAACATCAGGCTCCAATAAACATCACTTCTGACATCCAAACACAATTCTGTGCTGCTTTACTCGATATACTGAGAGTCGCACCAGCTACAGCTATACCACCAGTCGTAATATTTTCAAAACGACAGTATGCGCTTTCCATTCTTTCCAAGTGCGATCTGACAAAGGCAATTATCAATCACTTTCAGGACATACGGAAGGACAGGTATGTCCTTAAACACCACTGACAAAGAGGTTCAAGCACTAACAATTTTGGAACCGCACTACCTCAGGAATCCTTCACGGGTTGGGATAAAATCCAGCAGGCATATCCAAATCCGTGGTCCATCGAGCCACAAAATAATCATAACAATAATAATAACGATGATGATAAAGTCGAAAATTTCAGCCAGCAGTTTCACACATATGGGAAGACTGAAGAGCCCAAGAGGGGGTCCTCGCCACTCAACACGCTTGCAGCCTTGAACTGTACGGCCTGCCACTACTGCAATGCCCCTGGTCAGCGGAATGCCCCCCTCACAGTGATCTACCAATATTACTTTCCCAGCTGCTGCTTGAATCACGACCCCCAGCTGGACACAAACAGGCAACCGCCCAGGCAAGCCACCAAGGACAACTTCGGATTTTTCCCAAAAGGGGATAACAGGTTCAGAAACATTCCTAAAGCGGAACTAAGATGCACTACGTAACCTCAGGGATTTCATCACAGAACCTTTATTTTCACAGACTTCGCACAAAGTGGGGTAGTTACAATAGCCAATTAAGTCACCATATACACACGAGAAATTTTGCAGCTCAGGAAGGGCTAGGAAGTTCAAAGTTCTATCACCCACTGCTCACCACTGCAATGTGTGGTGTCTGGGCTGGCATCATTAGATCCCACTAGCTTACCTGCTGCGGCTCCGCCCGCAAAGAAAACAGAAAATTTTAAAACCGACAGCCAAGAGCATGCGGGAGGGGTATAACATATGAATAAACTATTCAATGTCCATCTGCTTGGCATTTGCTGTTCAATGACATTCGAGCAGCCATATTTGCTAGTCGTGCATCTTGGAGATTTGGGGCGAAGAAGAAACCAAGCGGCACGTGTCCGAATTAGATTGTGGACAGATGTGTGTGTGTGTGTGTGTTGTGGGCGGGTGGGTGGCTGGTGTGTACGTGGGTGCATGTGTGTGTGAGCAAACTCACAAGTAGCATCGAAGTCGAGCAAAGTTCAGAATCGAGCCCACCCAAAAACACATTGCGTGGACCTTCCCCACCCCCTCTATTGACCAAGAAAAAAGAAAAGCGAGAAAGAGAGAGACCCGTCCCCTTGACCAACAAAAAGGGAAGAGAGAGAGAGGACCAAAAAAACAGAAAGAGAGAGAGAGAGAGAGAGTAGCAAAGTTGAGCGTAGCAGCGTAGAGTGGCTTCGAGCGTAGTAGCGTAGAGTACGTCGATCGTAGAGAGTCCTAGTAAGGCCGAGCGTAGAGTAGCCCATCTGCACCCACCTTCCCCCTCCTCCGACCCCACCTCTGCCCACCGCGCCCACCTTCCCTCACCTTCCCGTCCACCTTTCCCCCCTTCTGCGCCCACCCTCAAAGGCTGCACCTGTCCTCCTCCACGCCGACCCTATTCCCTCACTGCCCAATCATCCTCTACTCATCCAGCGGAGGGAGTTCTCTCTCTCTCTCTCTGTCTCTCCCCCCCCCTACACCGACGACACCCCCCCACTCCCCCACCTTTTTACAAATGCGTTAGTCCCCAGGCTCAGCGTGTGTATTTGAGCGTGCAGCAGAGAAAGGGAAACAGCGCCAACCATCCCTCCCCCTTG